GCCTAGCACGAGGACGCTCCGGCTGAAAAAGTGGGCGGAAGTGTCTGCGTTTATGTACATTTGGCTCAGAGCCACATCACTCTGACATTGTCTGATATTGCAAGGTAAAAAGGGGTTTCTAAGCCAGTGGTGTCTGTACTGATTGAAAACATTTGATCATCTGTCTGTAGTGCAGGTTTGACAACTTATAATAAATATTTTACAGAAACTCTTACGTGTGCTTGTCTCTGAGAAGCTCGATCAATACTCACTGGCAGCTTTACTGCACTTACCTTGTGCTAGTGAACTTACTGTCCTCTGCGCAAACACGCCCCCCGCTGGAGAATGTGGGCTGACACTTTGTGAGACTGCAGGTAGAGCTAAAGGAAAGTGGGACAGGGAGCTTCCTGCTGTTGGATGAAAGAATCATATCATTGATCATTCTTTGTCTTTATTTTTAATTGTCTGTCTCAATTAAACAGCCCATCTCATTGTGTGGTTACAGACAATAATAGACCCTGATATGAGCTCATATTGTCTGGTTTGAGTCATTGGTAAATGCTGCGTCTATGTCACTTGCTCACCAAACAGACTCTCTGTTGTGGGGCAGATTCTAACTTTAATGTCCTATATCACAAATCTATCACCAGAAGCCAAATATAGCTGACATCAGGGCATTCTTGTTTCAAGATCTTAGGAAAAAAACACTTGTGTTTAAAAGCTTGTAATTATTTTGTCCTTCTATGTTTGGAGGGTTTTCATCTTTATAGAGAAGCACAGCTATTCTGCTGGAGGTGATGCCAGCTGCTATAAGTTATTGGTACTTTGTTATTGGCAATTGGTACTTGCTGCTTAAAAGCACCACCTGTCATGTATGTTTACTTGGTGCTGATCTTTATTAGTAAAAACATTACTTATAGTACATATTTTCGCACATTTTCAATTGTTAAATGGGCCTTTGTATTATTTCTTGCTTGCTGCTGCCTTTTAACCAGGTGGTTGTTGAAAATTATAAATAATACTCATCTGGCATGAAGAAAAATCCTAGCATACCTGGACAAATGCTTTGTGGTTCTCAGTTCCTAACGTAGAGATGGATCACGTGTTTAGATGCAGGTCATTTCTGTAGCCCTATTCTTTCACATCCTGTGTTTGTCACAGTCAAACTGTCCTCCGAGGCTCTGAGCAGTCTGGGCTTGTGGCCATCTCCCTCGATGTGTGTCTTTTGTAACCAAAGTCCCCAACTGTCTGTGAGCTGTGTGTTAAATATGTGGTGGAACTTGATCTGATGGTTTTGACCCCTTTGCTATGTCTTTTCCTGCAGTGCAACAGGCTGACTGAAGAACGTGATGAAGCTGAGCGACAGCTCAAACACATCAAAAGAGGTGAGTCTCCTTCTGGACTCCTGCCCTGGGTTTCAGGTTAAAGCAAGGTGTAACATTGACGACCATAACAAAACATCTACTGTCACTAATTTGTCTATAAAGATCCTGTTATTGTCATGACACATGTAACACATATGACCGCCTTATTTGGGTTGAGCCTCCATATAGACCAAAGATGTACCTGATCAACCTTTACCTCAGTATCACCATTATGTCCCCAACATAACATTTTTTCATTCATTGTCCATTATTTGATTAAGATCTCGGTGTTAACAGAAACAGAAACCCCATCCTTTCCTTTTAAAGGTTAAACGTAGCGAGGTGAACCTGTCAGTCTGTATCAAGGTATCCTGTTTCAGCCAGACAGCTGACACCTCAGCTTCCTCCCCCTCACCTTTCACACCTTATTTCCTTCTCACCTGCGTTGACGTGACATCGCTGACAACTTGTCCTCCGTGCAGTTTTGCTACAGAGGAGAGGTTTAGAGAGGTGTTTTTTTTTAATCCAAGGATACCAGGCCACCTTTTATCTGCTGTCTTACATCAGAGAGTTTCATTTTAGAGATAAGGTGGATGGTTTGGTTTCTCCTAACTTCTGACATGACCATTCACACAGGTAAGAACTGACAGGTGCTTCACACTTTACTCATCATGAAATATTCAGGTTTGAAGGTGTCACTGCGTAGTGTGACTTTTTTTAAATCCACCCGCTATTTAGAGAAAACATATTGCATATGACACAGATAATGTAATTGTTTATTTATTTATTAGTATATATAGTATGAAATACTATATATACTAATATTTAGTTAATGTTAAATATGTTGATCCACTAAATGAGCTTCATCAGGACCATCAGTGAGTAAAGGGAGTAAACCATTTGGAAAATGTTACATTTTAGGTTTAATGTAGTACGGACAAGGAGTAGAGTTGGTCAGTATTTCGTTTAATATCCCAAATATCAAAGAGTAAAAGCAGAAGGAATAGAATAAAAAATTAAAAACTGATGTTTTAAGTGTCATTTCTGAAGTTTTTCAATCATTCAGTTATTTATTCTTCTACTGTATCTCCCCTGGGAGAACAGCAGTTGCTCTTGTTGTGTTATCACCATTAATTATTAAAACCGCTTCCTATGAATTATTCAGCAGCTGAATATGGAGGTAGGCTGAGCGTGTCTGTGTGAGTGTGTCTGTAAAGTCGAGGGGTGGGGGCTCGTTTGAATAACCTAACTTCTTTTTTAACTATTTGTTTAATCAGTCATTGCACTCACACAGTTTTTTTTTTTTGCTTAAATTTAACTTTAAAAATTGAACTACTGGAGAACATTGGTGGGGTTGCCTTAGCCACCTAAAGCTTTCTCTCACTTTTTGATCAGTAGTCAATGTTTTCCAGTCGACCAAGAATCTGCTTTTATAGACAGAATTTGCCTTGCTGTGGTGTCTGTAGTAAATGTGTTGCCATCAAAGTAGAAGACACACTTACATTTAAACACTTGAACACCAAATAAAGTCAGTCCTAGCATTTTAACACACGTTGTTGCCATTTTTTTTTTTTTTTTTTTTTTGCTTTATGTTTTGATCTATTTAGAATACAACAAAGTAGGTCATCACAGGCAGAAAGATCTGGACGTACCCAAACATCTTTCCCTCTGCCCTCAGCTGTGACAGTGAAGGGCTGATAATCAGTTTTAGTGGCTTGTACATTGATTCAGGAAGAAGTTGTTAATGGGGATGGAAGTTGGCAGGAGTTTCCTGCCAGGCGGTAACACAATCCCCTGAATGACCATTGATTATGATGTAGTCAGAGGCAACAGGGAATTTCATTGAACTGAAGAAACACCCGAGCACACAGGGAGAAGCTGGAATTTCATACAGAAAGGCCAAAAGCAGTCAAGGCTGTGAGGCTGTAAGGCAAGAGTGTTCGCCACTCTGCCACACATTATGGACAAAAAATAAATAAATAAATAAAACGCCTCATTCCTTGAAACAAAAGAAATGTTTTTCCCTGAACACACTTTTAAAGCATTGAACCACAGGACAAAACAAATAAGTATGAGTAAACAGCAGGGGTCACCAAATATATTTATTGGAAGGCCAGAATTTTCCTGAATCGACACCACGGGGGCGGAGCAATAAAAAATAAAAATCACACTTTTGTCTGACATTATTATTGGATGTTTATTATGGAATCCAGTTGTGGGCCGGATTGGACGATTTGGCAAGCTGGATTTCAGCCCGCCAGCCGCCAGTTGATGATTACTGTTCTATTGGTTTCACAGTGAGTGTATGTGTGTTTGTGCTCCTCTCTCAGTGTCTCAAATGGTGATTGAGGAGGTTGGTGTTCTGCAGACTCAGCTGGAGATTGAGAAGTCTTGCAGGGAAAATGCAGAGGCCTTGGCTACGAAGGTCAGACACACATACAGTCACTGCTTTTAACATTGGTATTGTAGCATTTGCATTAAGTGCAGCTAGCATTGGCAGGTGAACATTTGAGTCGGATTACTCTGCACTTAAGGAATTTGATCACTATCTGTCTGTTTACAGCAGAATTTTACCGGCCTATATCATAATATTTTTACTGATACCACAAAATGAACAACAAAATAACATAAAACAATGTTAATACTGTTACAACTGTTAATAATGCAGCTTCAAAGAATGGCTGTTGTGTTCAGGTACAGTATGAAAATGTGATCAAAGCAGCATTTCGACCAGTACTAAGCATTTACATCCTGTAACCTCTGACCTCTCAGCTCAACTGCGAGAACAGAAAATTGAAGTATCTGAGCATGTCATCCCGGCCGTGCCTAGATGAGCTGCTTCCCAGCATCTCAGACTGCATCACACTGGAGACAGACGTGGGGGCCACAGATGACAACAGTCCTGACACCTTCACACAGTACCAGGAGCAGGTCAAAGGTCGGAAGAGATAAGATAACAAATATAAATCCTTCAGAGCGGTGTGCTCTGTTAGGTTGCTGTTCACAGGGACAGTCCTTCATTGGTTTAAATTCTCACTCTTGTTCCTGATTTTTAAAAAAGACATAGTTCATATTTTATTTTTTACAGTAATACACTATTGTGTATTAACGGTATTCAGTTAAAAAATGGAAATGGAGGAATAAATTGTTTTATTTCCTAACTCTCAAACTCTCGTGTTTGTCCTCAGAGCTGAGAGAAACAGTCAGCAGCCTGTTGGAGGAGAAGAAGAACTTTGTTTGTCAGATTCATGACCAGCAGAGACAGATAGAAGTGCTTGCTCTACAGGTGAGGAGGGTGTACTACAAACACTCACCTGCACGTTATTGTGTCATTGACATATATAATATAAGATCATACATATTTTAGTTTTTTCATTTCTTCTAATTTGTAGTGATAAAAAACTTTTGTGATGTAGCCTCTCTTTCTTGGTTAATACAGTTAGATAAAAAAAATACACAGTTTTTTAAGTCACATGATAATTAAATAATCTGTGTTCATTTCACTCCATACAGTCAGAGAAGGATCAGGCAGCGTTGAAGGAGCTGAATGAAACAGTTGATCAACAAAGCAAAACGATCAAGAGATTTAACAGAGGTGAGTAGCAGCAAATGTAAAAATGTAAAAAAAAGACACATTTTCACATCTTTTATTGTTGAAATGTGGGAGAAAAAAGGGTTCTAAAAAGAACTTGTTATGGATTTTGCTTGTAATCACTTGCTTAGTGGTTGCATTCAGCATAAGTCACATTAGGCAAAAATATTTTGCTGCTTTGCATGTTATTATGATATTTTAGCATGAACTAAAGATAGTAGGATAGATGGAGAGATACAGATGCAGTCTCTACACACATGAGTAAGTAACCACTGCCATCATTATGCTCAGGTAAATGTCTGACTGTCTAATGGATCTGATCTGATATTACTGCTTTTGTCACTTTAAACTCAGGTAAATGTCTGACCTGATATTACTGCTTTTGTCACTTTAAAGTCTCAATGATGGCCGCTCAAGAGTACGAGGGAATGAAGGATCAGCTAGACCTGGAGCAGAGCCTCAGAGTTAAAGCTGAGACCTATGCACATGAGGTAACAATACTAAAAACTACAACACAACCATATGAATGTGATTTTTTTTTAGTTACTGTGAAGAACTAACACGGTGATTGAGTTAATTACCCACTGCCTGATGAATAAATATGTTGTTTACTGACCTGTAAAGTGAAGGCACTGCAGGATCTGTAATAGACTGTGTGTGTGTCCAACCATTGTATTAGCAACCACATCCTCAACTTTTCCGTCTGTCGGCTGTAGATGATGGTGAAGCAGAAGGAAGCCAACAGACAGAGTATGCTGCTGCTGCAGAGTGTGGAGCCCAGTGTTCAGTTGCTGAAAGCTCTGGAGGACGTCGCTGCCATCACCAAAACACTGGAGGAAGAGCGCCAGCAGCACACGCTGAAGGTTAGCCAATGGACTTGGTTGATGTTGTTCACACCTGGTATTACACCGGTTACATGTGAACGTCATTAAGGTTCCAAACCCATGTAGACAAGCATTCCCAAGGAAACAGGATAAGTCTGACTGTGGAATCTAAATTAACTTCAGATTCTTACAGTGTTGTTTTGCAAGGTATTCCCGTGTTTTACACATATTGCATGTGTGCGTAGGTGCAGAGTCTGGAGGCAGAGCTCCAGCAGAGTTGTATGAAAGAACAGCTGGAGGTTCTGCAGAGACAGCTGGAGCTGCTGGAGCTGGAGAAGAAGGAGGTAGAAGGACGACTAGAGCAGGCAGAGAAGAAGAATGAGGAGCTGGAGAGCAGAGGTGGGTGGAGGAGAAGACGTACAGATTTATACACACACAGAATGAGCAGAGGTGTCTGTGTGTGGGTGGAGGAGCAGGAGCAGACGTACACACATACTTCAATGAAATAAATGTATGGAGGTGTGAAAGCAGGGCACAGTCTGCATAGCAACAGAAAATTTGCCTTCTCATTGGCTACCAGGCAACTTTAATGTCATGAAAAGAGGAGGACTTTTTTTCAAATTTAGCTCTGTATTAGTTACATGTTTACCTTCGGTAAAAGCCATATATAGTGCGAGTTAGTCCGTAGCCTTGAAACCACTCTTAGTGTTTGAATGTCTTTGCTGCAGAAATAACTCATATGAATTAAACCATGTATAAACTCTTTTATTTTTTTTTCTCCACAGTTAATGAGCTTCAGGATACCCATAAAGAGACACCACCCCCTCCCCCTGAGCCTGGAGTGGCCCCTCCTCCGGCCCCGCCTCCACAACCACCTCCACCACCTCCTCCTCCCCCTCCACCACCTCCTCCACCTCCCCCATCTAGATGCAACCCCCTCAGGTGAGAGATGGGAGCAGAATCCAACCAATCAGAGTTTTCCTACAAACTGTGTGGAACTCCTAATGATTTTTGATCATCTGTCGTAGCTCTCTCATTGCCATCATGAGGAAGACGTCCAAAGGTTCCAAAGCCCCTGTGAAGACGGAGCAGCCTCCAGGTGAGCTTTGTTAATGCCATTAATGACACATGCATTTATCGTAGGAGAGAAAGACGCAGAGAATCTTTAGCATTTATTTGTAAATGCATAGAAATGAAACAAAAACCAATAGGATATTTTATATACAAATAAGTCTATTATATTTGTCATCCATACTTGTTTTTATTGTCTTTCAGCTGACGAGGGTGTGGATGATGTGAAGGTGAAGGCAGTGAACGAGATGATGGAGAGAATTAAACATGGTGTCATCCTGAGGCCTGTCAAAAGCCAAAACAAAGAAAACAAGGTCCGTAGTCATTTATTTCACCTACAAAATAAATGTAACTCCATTTATTAGGCCCATAAATTTGTGTCAGTCTTTAAAGGTTCTCATTTCCAGAAAGCAGAGCTGATCAAATGTTTCTGTAACATTAAAAAATGAACCAGAAAAAACACACCAGACAACCGTCTGCTTCATTAGCACCTGTTACTGCAGATTTCCTCATTTGTCAGAACACTTGTCAAGGTCACAAGGTCATTTTGAAGTTTTCTGTTACATATTTACTAAAACATAAGTTTTTTATTCTTTTCATATTCTCCTTTTTTCCCTGCTCCTGTTTATTCTCATCCTCCTCAATGCCACAGCGGTCAGCAGTAAAAGTAAGTAAATTGACGTTTACATCAATCTTGTATGTCACAGTAGGTCCCATGGGAAAACAGATTCTCCCTCCCCCAGGCTCCATCCCTAGAGTTAATTAGACAAACATACATCATTTTTACATCCTTTCCAGACTGTACACTAGATCCTGTCACACAAGTTTTAATGAGATTTTAGTAAATTAAACAGTGGGAATGAGGCAACACGTCAAAGCCAGAAATCTGCTCTAACTATGACAACAGTCCAGTCAACACCTGGAAAATGTTTGTCAAAGAATTGTATAAAAGCAACAGCAGAGCTGGCCGTGATTGGAAAAAAAATCTTTCTTATTTACATAAGAAATATGCATTTAAAATGTAACTGTAATGCAGCTTCATAATACAACATTATTTTTATTTTTCTAGCAGCCTCCATCATCAGAGGAGAAACCACATGAGAGCGCAATGGAAGAACTGAAAGGCATTCTGGTAGGATTAGCTTGCTGGTTGGTTATGTTTATACCTGTTTCTGTGGTAACTGCAATGTTTTTGACATTTCTTAATAAATCTTAGAGCATCATATGAGGGTTTCTTTATGTTGCTAATATTTGTACATGAAATATAAAAATCTAAAATAAGATCTAAAGACATGCCATTGTTAAATATGGAAATGTAGTGTTGTTAAATGTTGCTCTTAGTTTAAACTAAAAGAATTTACACAGGACACTGTGAAAAAGAGCCCGAGCCGAGGCTCTCAGGATTCAGGCTCCTCACTGCCAGGGAAGAAGGACAGCGAGCTGGAGGTCATCCTGAGACGCCGGCGCAACAAGGCAGGAGAGGCCGGTTCTGGAGGTAAACTCACAAAGAACATAAAACAGTACTGACAGTGGTGAGGACAAATGCACAAGGATTAAAGCTTTGAATTCATCTAAAATGGTGATAAAGTCACAGCTGATGTGAAAGCAGACAGTTAATGTGAAGCTTGATAAACAGCTTCTTATTTACTTGTTCATCTTTTTCTTCTACTCCTTCTTGTCCCCCTTCTTTTTCTTCTTCTGTTCCTCCTTATTATTTGCCTTCAATTTCAGATGATGGTCAGCTGAGTTATGTGTCCTCCACTGATAGCCTTAATGGACAGCGAACCAGCAGCGACTCCGGCAAGGAGGCAGAAGGGCCAGGATCACTCAATGCCCCCTCAGACTCATCGGGGCCAAAGGTCAACCTAGAGAGACGTAGCTCTGGCCCTGGACCCATCGTGCCAAGGAGGAAGAGCTCAGATACGGGCCAGACCTCCAGAGTGGGCTCCTGGCAGGACAGGAGATCCTGCAGCTCACTGACAGAGCGAGAGTCACTGTTCAACAACGGCTGTGTCAATAGGTGAAGCAGTTTCACATTACAATATTATCCTCATTGTTCACCTTGATTTCTTGATGAATAAAACTGTAATTATCTCTCTCTTTTTGTCGTTAGTGTTGAAGAATATAACAAAATCCAAACAGAGAAATGCATAAATCCCAACGAAGTCATTCATGGTGGCAGTGTTGAGGACACACAGGCTGCTGTCTGTACTGGTCCACTAGAGGGCGGCGTTGACGCTGAATGCTAAGGTGGAGACAGAGGATCCTGGGTTTTGTTTTAGCTTTTGTTGGTGGGTTTTTTTCATGGATTCACTTCCAAATCAGAAAATTTTTGTTTTAATCATCAGACACTTTTTTATTTTCTGGATAAGTCACTGACATTTCTGCTGTTGTTTTCTTCAAAAACACATGTTGATTGATTGGATACATTTGAAGCAGAAAGCTTTGTTTCTGTTGTTGTCTCAGAGAGAAAAACCGAAGCATTAGAACGCCAGTTTTATATTACATTTTTAAAAGTAATACTGGTTGTTATTTTTATTTAACCATCTGTTTTGTATTTATGATAAATAGGTTCTCTACCAATGCAGAAAAATCATGGTTATTATAATTTTTGTACATGACCCGAAACAACTTCATGTATGTTTATGTATACATATTATTTACCTAGTAGAAATTCAAATTTTCTTGTCTCAGTACTTTGAAACTGAAGTGTTGAAAAACCCCTTTTAGTTTTGTTACCATTTGTAGACGGAACATTTCAATGGCCCCTTATTTGTCTCACAGTAACCAGTAGGCTCTTGTTAATTGTAATACCATAGTGGTTCTTTCATGGTCTTTTCACCTTTTAGCCCATCAGTTGTAGTTAACAGCCACCAGTTTGTGTGAACGACAGTTGATGCCATGGTTTGTTTGTTTTTTCATTATTTTCCCTTTCACTAAATCCATTTGACATTAACACATCTGTAAAAATGAAACCATAAAAATGTCTAGCTTTTATGAACTCACAAGGCAGAAAACACTAGTAGGTGAATCTTATAGACATGAAATCATGTTTGTATTAACAAAAATGAAATAATCTGCTGCTCAACAAAACTACACCACTGTGAGCAATAGAACATGCATGAGAGCAGAGGGCAGGGACACTTAGTCACTGGGATGGATGAATATGTGGAGAGTTGGACAATGGCTGACATGGAGACTAACACTTTTTTTAACCCGTGGATGTTTGAGTTAGGTGTTACTGAAGTACAAGTGACGCTGTACTTTTAATACATATTGTCTCAGAGGTCTGTGTCCAATAACTGATGGAGCGTTTCTGCTTAGCTGTGTTTGTGTTAATGATATATTACAAAGTCCCCCGGCTCACTACACTATTCTACACTCATTTCTACTGTAGTGCACACTTGGTAGTTTAAAAGTATCATACTTACAAAATAGCATCAATCTACTTTTTAACCCTGGATACTAATGCACATTATACGGTATTTATATTTTCCTTTTTGTCTGTGTTTTGTTTGAAACACCGCCACGTAACTCTGTCCTAACAGATCTAAGGCAAACAGAGACATTCTCAGGGTCCACTGGAAGAAATAAAAATCACCAAATCTTCACCACTTCTGGGGCCTTGACTAGAAAAAAGGAGAAATTAGTGAAATGGTCAAAGTTTGTTTGAAGGAAGCAGGCACTGGTGCACTTTTCTACCTCTCAATGGACACCACACGTCACACTTCCCGGTGTCAAGACTTGTGAGATGTTGTCATTATTTGTCCACCAGAGGAGTCTTTCACCACCTCTGTCCTCGGAGCCAGCAACAAGTCCCCAGTCCAGTTTGCACACACACGTTTCCACATGTCGTAGGGACGTTGCCGTCCGGCTGAGGGCGGAGCCCCCTCTAGAAATGGCTGAAAACTTTGAAGCTGTTTTGCTGAAAATGAGGAGACAAAGGACTTATTGGTCTAAACACCCTGTGTTTTCTGTATGTGTACAATATGTACGTACATAATGCATGGAGTATGTTTATCTATGAGCCCTTCTGCAGTTTGCCACATGCCGCTCAGCATATTGATTCCGCGTGGACCCACATTGCAGAATGCACCTTTAATGCAGTCAGTAAACTTTAAAGTGTGATCAGCTTTTTCTTTACCTACATCAGTGGTTACCAACTTCAAGACAAAAACAAACCTAAGGTTAATGAAAGAGCTAAAAAAGAAAATTGGGAATTCTCCTCAAAGTGGCAAAAAAAAAAAAAAATCAATTGAAATTTGTTTTCTTTGCTGTGTAATAGCTACGTGCCTCCGTACGGATGGCCCCCATTTTTGGAACCACTGACTTAGACTGAAGTTTTGGCAAAATCTTCCAGATAGAGGTGTGTGGGACTGCAACAGTTTCTGTAAAAACTATAAACAAATTTGCACCTATGTATTGACACAGACATGTGCATGACCAGGGCTAAGACAGTCCAAAGAACTAACAGTTTATCTAAACTTCCTGCTACATTAAAGGTAGAATGACTTTTGTTAATTCTAGTGTTCTAGTTAAGGCAGGATTACTATAGTAGTGACTTAGATAATGTTTTAGTGGGATTTTGTTTTGGACTAATTCATCAAACTGAGGTCCAAACACCTCTGCCTCATCTGCAGCCCCTAAGAGGTTCCTGCCATTAAATTTGTAAACACTCTCTTCTATGTAACTTGAAGCAGCACAAGTTTCAAAGCGTATGCAATTAATCATTAGCCTGACACTATCACACATTTGGTGATGCTTCACACAAAATCATGCTTACAAGTGCTTTTTTTCTGTCCTTCTTTTAATGTGTATTAAAATCTAATGCAAAGGACCTGATGTTTTGGCTGCATGTGAAATTGATCCTTCGGAGCCATTAAATATTCTCAGGCCTGAAAATGTGTTAACCTGGGTCTACAGAAGGAAATTTGACTGACAGTTTGATATTATGTGTGTGCGTGTGTTTGAGATATACATGGAGTGTTAAAGGTTTTTTAAAGAACGTGTTTTTCATTTTAGCACCACTTGAAATAAAATGCAATTAAACACAAACATAAGTCTGTCTTTTAATGATACAGCAGGATTTAACGTTTTCAAAACATTAGCAAGCTTTGTCAGCTGGTGACAGCATTAACACCAGAATAAACCACACCTTTTACTTATACTATTTGGGGTTTATACTCCCAACCACGTGATGGCGCTGCGTCGTCACAGTGCTACTTTTCTCCACCGGGGCCAAAACGAAAACAGCGTTTCAACATGGCGTCGCAGTATTACCAGCAGATGCAGGAGAGCTTTCAGAATAACAACAAGAGCCGCGAATTCCCCGCTCACTCCGCCAAAGTCCACTCGGTGGCCTGGAGCTGCGACGGCCGCAGACTTGCTTCTGGTTCTTTTGACAAAACAGCCAGTGTTTTCATTCTGGAAAAGGACCGACTGGTGAGTCCGAACAACGGATGTACTAGGCTAAGCTAGCGTTATCCCGTAGTCAGTGCATGAATGAATGGGTGCATCGGAGCATTCGCTTTAAATAATTCCTGCAGTTTGTAACTTGTTATACTCTCCAGGGAAATTAACTTAAACATCATCAAATGTCTTTGAAGAAGTCTTACGCATTTTCCAGAACAAAACAAGTTTACTCCGTGACGAAATCTTTGCTTTAGCTCAGAAAAATGTGATTTTTATGGTCAATTGATTGTCCTTCCAGGTTAAAGAGAACAACTACAGAGGTCACGGGGACAGCGTAGATCAACTCTGTTGGCATCCGACAAACCCAGACCTGTTCGTCACTGCATCAGGAGATAAGACCATCCGCATATGGGATGTACGAACCACCAAATGTATCGCAACTGTCAACACAAAAGGTGGCTGCTGCTTTCCATGTGTAGTGGCTAGAAATAAATGACCACATATAGAGATTATGTGATGAATAGTAAACATTGGTCATGAAATGCCATTCTACACCATCAATCTACACAATGAGAAGTGGTGATACTTGAGGTCACTTTAGACCTGTAAATAATGTAGATGTGTGTTTTAAAATACATTAGTTACTATTTACCCAAACAGTGCATATCGAAGTTAATAGTGTTTACAGTAACATCCTTTGACTGACCTTTGACTGGCTCTGCTCTCTAAGAGCTTTCTTTCAGAGATTTTTTTTGTAATCATGTCACCCTGTATTATTTAGGAGAAAACATCAACATCTGTTGGAGTCCAGACGGTCAGACTATCGCCGTTGGTAACAAAGATGATGTAGTCACCTTCATTGACGCCAAGACTCACCGGTCTAAGGCTGAGGAGCAGTTCAAGTTCGAGGTGAATGAGATTTCCTGGAACAACGACAACGACATGTTCTTCCTCACCAACGGAAATGGATGCATCAACATTCTGAGGTATTGGCGAGATGAATAACTCTACAGTTAAAGTGAGAACTGGCAAAAGTCAGCAGTGTCGATACAGAGTTGTATGCAGTCCAAACCTTTACATATTCATGAAAAGATGTCTCTGAGCGAAAGCTCTGTGATATTTTTCAGTGATTTCTCACACTCTTCTCTCCAGTGTCCTGTTGCAAGTGATGATGATGATTTAAAAACAAACAAAAAATCTTATTGGTGCTGAAATTCAGGGTTGACAGTTCAGAAGATAACATTACACTTATTATTATGTTTGTGTGATCTTTGATAGAGCGTATTTTAATGTTGGTTCACAGATAAAAATAGTCATACCTTTCACGGTTTGTAAAAAAGGTGAGGTTATGGAATTCATCTCCAGAGCTGCTAAATTTGTAGTTAGGTGATAAAAATGCTTCTACCTGTCTTAAGCTGTTTGTGAGTGTTTATCAGACTGTGTTTCTTGTTGGTTACAGTTACCCGGAGCTGAAGCCCATTCAGTCCATTAACGCTCACCCATCAAACTGCATCTGTATCAAGTTTGACCCCACAGGAAAGTACTTTGCTATAGGAAGCGCAGACGCACTGGTCAGTCTGTGGAACTTAGAGGAGCTGGTGTGTGTCCGCTGTTTCTCTAGGTGAGTGTGTATGGCCGTATGTGAATTGGTGTCCTGTGGTCAACACCATGATACTGTACTGTCTGATTCTGTTGAGTGTTTTGTTAATTTGTTAATAGTTTTATTATTTGTCTTCAGACTAGACTGGCCAGTAAGGACTCTAAGCTTTAGTCATGATGGGAAGATGTTGGCTTCAGCCTCTGAGGATCATTTCATTGACATTGCTGAAGTGGAGACAGGTCAGTGTCTGCTCCAGTCATCGGATCATGATAGGGCTCAAAGCTAAAAAAAAAAAAAAGTCACTCATCATGTATACAGTAGTGATGGACTAGTGAGAACTGTTCAAGTTTTTTACTGAAAACAAATTTGTAAACTTTAAACTACATTACGCAGTAGTTGATAAATTAAAATGATTGTCTGGGTCTGTTGGGCTTCATAAAATATTTTATTAATTATTATCATCATGACTGACTTATACATTTCTATGTTGTGTTAGAACTGTGTTAAATTAGTCATGCAAAAAGCATGGGACATCTTTAGTGGTCTTTTTTCTAACCTTTTTATCGTTTGCAGGAGAAAAACTTTGGGAGGTCCAATGCGACTCTCCTACCTTCACTGTTGCTTGGCACCCAAAGAGGCCGCTACTGGCCTACGCCTGTGATGACAAAGATGGAAAATATGACAACAACCGTGAGGCGGGCACTGTCAAACTCTTCGGTCTCCCCAACGACTCCTGAGTACAACAGTCTTAGAATTTGACGGGTTTTTCTCTCGTTAGCAAAATACATGTAAAACGATTCAGCTGCAATGACCATTTTCCACCAGCAGAGGGTACACTATCCTTCTAGTTCAACACTTGGATCCTATTCCCCAGTACAAGTATTCCGTACACTGTAATATATTGTTTTTGTAATGTAAAATAAGCCTTGTTTGATATTAAAAGTTCCTTTGCTATTCTTGTGTATTTATATTTTTATATCCAGTTCATTTGTATTGTCCGAAAACAAAAAGTATAAAACATTAAATAGTCATTCTAATTAAAACAAAAATTAGCTAAGAAGAGTTCATCGTCCTTAAGATAATGTTTGTTGCATGTATTTATACAAAGGTTTATATATTTATAATCTCTTTCAAGAGAGTCGAACGGAAATGTGATCGGTGAATACACATTTAATTACTTGGACCTTGGACCGACCATGTAGGGCGTCTTCGTGCGTGTTTGTTCTTGTTAACTTCCTGTCGTTGTGTGTCACACACAGATGGTGAAACGGTGCCGTGCATGTGCTTTCAGCCTTGATCAGGTTTCACGCCAATCAATAATCTCATTCATTGAGCAGCACCTTTTCCCAAGGTGATCGTACCTCCTCATAGTCACCTCACGTGTTCAGGCTTGGAGATCAATAGTGATCAGATACTAATGCGCTCAGACAACGAGCGTGTTTGCACACGTGCAACAGTTTGTGCGTGTGTGTTTTGGACGAGCAGCTGTGTGCAACCAGATAATCAGACCCACTCATTTGTTTGCTTCAGTCAAAATGAACAAGTCTGTGGCTCCGTTAAAGGGCACTTCCGCTGCTCTGGATAATTGCAATGCTGCATTGACCAGAGCCTTTCTCATTGATTTTAACTGGAGATTTTTAGTCAGATGAGAATCCCTGATGCTCAGTCACACTATTTAACACCGGCTGGTTACATCCCAATCATGAACAAGGCAACTGCACAACAAGAACGAAAAGGTATATTGTATATACTGTATAAAAGCATATAATATATATATATATAATTCTGCTGTATACAGTTTTTTAAATATTATATATATATATAAAATATTTTATCCTTATTACTATAATAGTTCTTTACCATTATGGTAATGGGAAAGAAAAGAAAATTAACTGAACAACAACCCGGTACAGCGAGCTACAGAAAACAATGCAAAATGTATATCTTGTTGTTTATAATTGTGTTCTCTTGTGTATAGTTTTTTTATTATTAATTGTATTTCATTTTTTACGTGTAAACCTGAGTGAATTTAAAGGGGTGACGTCACACCCGGTACCGGAAGTGTTCACTCGGTTTTGAAAATGAGGCAAGAGGGATGTCACTCGTCGTTTGTCTAATCTGCAATAATACGTTATTATTGGAATAGAAATATCAAGTGTGGCTTAAAGTACCTTTTAAAAAGTGAAGGAAGGACCGACTCAGTTACCGGAAGTGTAAAGCTGCTGCCACGATGACTGCTACAGAGAGCGTCACCGTCGCCGCCATATTGTGATTGTCGCTAAAAAAACAATAACAAAACGATGCCAGTATCCTGTGCTGCGTGGGGCTGTCAGAACCGGTGCAGTGTTTCTACACGATCCAAAGGAATTACCTTTCACAGGTAAGATTGTTTAATTTAAAGCAATAAATATAAGGCCATGCTAAGATCCATATTGGATAACTTTGTTTGTCTTTACTTTTTACTATTTCAGAAGTGCACATCAGTAAAGTAAAGATATACTTTAAAAATAAGTGGTGAATATGCAAAATATTAGGCACATGGTGTGTTTAAGCGATGTTAAATGGATCAAATACAAGTTACATTACTGGCCCTTGTATTCATCTGACATGTTTATCCCTGTTGAAGATTTCCGAAAGATGTCTTGATGAGGAAAAAATGGGAAGTTGCTCTAAGAAGAGAGAAATTCACAGCCACCAAGGCTTGCAGACTCTGCAGTGATCATTTCACACCAGAGGACTTTGACAGAACCGGTCAGACCGTCAGGATCAGAGATGGATCTGTTCCTTCTGTCTTCAATTCCCCTGCTCATCTCCAGAGGGTAGGTTTACAACATGGGATATTTAACATGCTACAAACAATAATGACCAGAGTTCACCTCACAGCTTGTGATACTCTCACCTATCCCAAGCTGGGAAATATGAATAAAAAAATAATTCATATAAAATAGTGTCACATTAATACACTGTATCCGATTACAAATAATTATAAATTTGAAATTGAACGACAGCTGATCTTAACTTTACCTTAACTTTAGCCAGTGACAACTCTGACATCAAAAGCATCTAAGGACGGCCAAGAAAGCACCTCATGTCCACAACCCGTTCAAGAGACTGACTCAACAGACAGCGTAAATACTGCTTCTCCTCCTGTCTAAACCAAGAATACTATCTTGTTTCATACCTCTGGTGTTAAATGCTAGTATGAATATAATTAATATGTTCCTTGCCATCCTTTTTTTTTGTCTTCCAAGGACCATCTCTATGCACTGCCCTCGTCTCCCTCTGATCTCACAGCCAGACTCAATCAAGTCTTGGCTCGTGTGGAGTGTCTGGAAAGAGAAAAAAGAAATGCAAAGGACAGAGAGAGGAGAGCAAAGAGCCGAATGTTCTGTCTACTGGAGTATCTCGAGGAGAAAAAACTTTTAAATGACGAAATGAGAGAGCGGCTTGACTCAAACTTAGGTATGAATTTTCAGGTATTCTGTAGAAATTTGTCAGTCCGTGTTAACTAAATTCTGGATCTCTCAATTCTCTTGTCAGAGAAACACAGAGCACCAGAGGACGTTGGTCTTGATGTTCCACCTACGTTGTCTGAAAGCATGCAGCTATTTGAAGAAGACTCAGAGTCTTAAGAACCATTTTCTTTTTCAGTTCTTTATTGTAGGTCACCTTAATATCTTACAAACATGCACAGATAGAACGTGGAAAAGAGCTACACTTTATTAATGTAATCCAGGAAGATTGGACAAGAGGACAGTATCCAGGAATTTATATTCATATGAAAAAACAGAAAGTTTCTGTGATCAGTTCAAGTCCATGGCATCTTTAAATCATTAATTATTTGTTTGTACTTCTTCCTGTTCTGTGAATGCCAAAACCATGGCCTTAAAGTCCTTAATCTTGAACCTGCTGAAAAAACAACACCAGTCTAAACATGATTGTTGCTATGGCTAGCAGAAAACGCATCCGGTTTGATGCTAACACACATCAAATGTCTGGATCAGTGAATGTGGTTGATGACTTGAATGTGACAGATTTTACAGTGTGGCCTTTATCATGAAGGAAAGTGCCAGTTGAAGACTAAATGGTCCGCTCCCTGCAGACAGAGTACCTTTAACATGTGCATGTGTTTGACAGACCACCACCAATATCAGCAAGTGCAAAAGAAAACTTCAGAGCCCTTCTGTGGTTGGAGGTTGATGGGACACTGACTATACCTTAGTTAAGTTTACATTCCGCTAACAAAAACCATCTGGATATTTATCATTCATCTAAATGAGGTCCAAGCTGAAGATAAACTGCATGCTAGCACCTGGGAACAGAGCAGTAGGTGAAATTTTGTGGTCAGTGATTGACTTTTTTCTGCGTGCAGGGATTGTGTTACATGACCTTTGTGTTTCTGAAAATATACAAATACACGCTCAGGTAAATCTTAAATCTAATTGTGCAAACAAGATTTTGAATCATTTAAATACATCTGTATATTTAATTGTTCTGTTGTTTCTTGTTGCTTTTTCTATTTTAAATAAATACATGTGTCTCAGTTTGCTACTTTAATGTAAATAAAAAAATGCTGTCAACTTAATGCTGTTAATCTTTATCTTTGTTTCTGCATTTTAAAATAATTAACAAAAATATTTAAATTCATCATGGCAAGACATTTTTTTACAAAATCTTTACAACCTAAATGCAGTTTATGGAGACATTCAGTCCAACAGTGGAAGAAAAACCGATGCCACAAAAGTAGCGCCAGTGATTTTTACTCTTAATTCTATTTTATTGTTAATAAAATAACGCCAGTGGATTAATTCCATCGTCCACTCTAATTTCAAAGCTACATGGTAATTGAGTCACGATTCAAGGCTCGGCTGATACCTGATCAGAACAGCTTCTTCTAAATGTCTCTGCTGAAGTTAATTGTTCTGTCCATATCTAATTTACGTCACCTGATTAAATGATCGATTCAGCTGAAACCGGATCCTAATCACCAAGTAGTGACACAGAGATGATGATCAAGGGGTGGATTTCTTTTCAGAATAGGGTAAAAATTTCTGTAATATTTTTTGAAA